TAATATATAATATATTAATATATTAATATATAATTATACTTATATAATATATAATATATTAATATATAATTATACTTATATAATATTAATATATTAATATATAATTATATTTATAGAATATATTAATATTATATAATGCATATATAATGTATATCCGATAATGTTTAAATATTAAGAAAATAACTTTGTAATGAAGTGAATATATTATACTAAACAAATTAATTCTAGAATTTCGTTATAACATTTGTTTATTATAGCATACTTTGAAAGTATATTTAAAATTATATTTAAATATTTAAAATATTTAGTATCTACAATTTAAGTTCATTATGTACAGTAAAATTAAAAAATAATTATTTAATTTATTCATATTAAAAAGAAGATAGTCGAAATTTAATTTTTAAATTTGCCAACTTCAAATTCAAAAATTTGTGAGATGTCAAAACTTTCAAAATCCAGAATATTTTTTTTTTCTTTTTAATATCCGTTTTCAAGAATTGATATTTTAAAAAATTAAATTTTTTAAAATAACAATTCTTTAAATTGAGATTTGCAATCAATAATAGATGATTTTTAACATATTATTATCTTAATAATAATAGTTTAATCTATATTATTAATGAAATCATATGTTTAAATATGAAATTTAATACAAGTAATTTTGAAACATTTATTAAATATTTATGTATATCAATAATTTTTAATAACAATATTTTAGGTTTTATGTTTAATTTTAGTATTTTAATTTAAATATTCTATCAATTTTGTTAAATTCTTTGCTGATAGGTACATCCATTTATAATATTTTATTCAAGTATAGAAAATGTTTTCCTCAAAATAGTAAAATTTCTATTTTTTATTAAAATCATATAATGATTGAAAATATAAATCATTTTGTCTTACATCTAATTGTTGCAAATAGAAAAGAAATATATATGAATTATAGAATTCTATTTATCTGAATATATTAAATATATTTATTTAATATATTTATTTAATATATAAATATTTGAATAAAAAATATAATATATTATATATTATATTATATTTTATATATATATATTTTAAATATTATTCTTTTAGATTTTAGAAGATGAGAAAATTGAAAAATTGTTAAGAAGGATATACATAATGTAAATATATTCATACGATATTTTTAAAGAATCTATTCTACAAATTCTACAAAATTCTACAAAAGTTAGTAGAAAAGATGTCGATTGAAATTTATTTATTAATTATTAAGCATTATTTAAAATTTATTAATAAACAAAAACATATTATATAATTTATTAATAAATACAAGCAATTGAAGTTTGTATTACATAAGACAGAGATATAATGAGATTGCTTTATTTCCACTATATTGTATTATCATGCTATGCGATTGAGTTCTTTCTCGCCTCATTTCATTTAACGTGAACTTAAATTGTTTATAATTTCTTTTGTTTTAATATAAATTGCATATATTTAACTTTTTTTTCTCTATAATCGAGCCTCTAATAATATTCCATATAATGATATGTGAGTTTAATTATATAATATATATAATATATAATATATAATATATATAATTATATAATATATAAATTAAACTGATTTTAATAGAAGTTATTATATTTTTATACTTAATTATAAATTAATAATTATTTCTTTTTTATTACAATACATATTTAATTCTTTAATAATTTAAAAGTTAAAAAAAATAAATTATAAATAATAATTATAAATAAATTATGAATAATTTAAAATTTATAAGATATTTATTATTTTTCTATGTTTTGAGTTTGAAAATCAATAAATAAGTCTTGCATGCAATCAAAAAAATAAAAAATATTTATTAACTATTAAATATTGGAGATTGTTTTTAAATAAAAACAAAAGACGAAAAAATGATAATAGAATTTTCTGATCGATAATATTATATATGTTAAAAAAATTAATATTTTAATGTGTGATATTGTGCTGCAGCTTTATTTCTGCATAATATTGTAAATGTATAATGCATAAATATATTCAAAAGAATATTATTAATTAATTTAATATTTTAAAAGTTTAGAAATATATACATTTAAAAATAGTATTAATATTGTTTTGATTATATTTTTTGTATTATTAATATATATATATATAAAAAAATATTTTTTTCTCTTGTTTTTATAATAAATAAAACTTAAATAAAATTTAAATAAAAAAATTGAAACATTTTTTAATCACATTTCGAAATTTTATTAAATAGCAAAAGGATTAATGATTTATCAATGCTTAAAAACCAATATCAATTAATATCTCCTAATATCAAAGTGTTCATTCCAAACAAAATTCTAAAGTTAGAAATTAAAAATTTAATTATCATTGATTGAATTCACTTATTTGAATATGAATAAACTCTTTATTATACAAATAAAAATATAAAATATTTTTCATCTCTCGAAAGATTCAGATAATATTGTAACTCTACTGTAAATTAAAAAGAAATTCTACATACCTCGCCAACAGATGTGGCAAGAAGATTGACGATTTTCTCATGCGGTACAGCAACAACACTTTGATTGTTGATTTCGATAATTCTGTGACCCACTCGAACACCTCCTCTTTCAGCGATTCCACCTCTCAATAGACTACATATTACTCCGTTTTGTACACTAAATCCTAACTGATATTTGGTGTCAGGTCTTTTGATTTTAACTTCAACTACTGGCGCGCACGGAACGACAGTTAACTTGACAACTGTCTGATTCTTTGAGTTCTTGATGTAAGTTTGACAAGTAGAAAGAGGCAAGCCAACTAACGAAACACCATTTATAGCTATTATCTGATCACCAATATTTAATTGTCCACAACGAGCAGCCGCACCAGCTGGTGCCAGATTTGCAATTACAACAGTTGGTAGCATAGAACCCCATCCAGATTCGACAATTACCACACCTAAAATTTCACCTTTTGCCTTAGGTACTACAACCTGTAAATATAATAACGAAATATTTTTTAATTCTGAAAAATGAAAAGAAATTGCTTTTTTATTTAGTTTTTATTAATTAAAAACGAAACTATTATTCATTATTACATTTAAATATTATTTTATGAAAATAAATAAAAATATTAACACAAATTAAATTTTTATATCAATTTATAAAATTTAAAATAAATATTAAAATAATAATAATAAATTAATTTATCTTATTTTTTAATAAGATAATTTTTTAAAATATAATTTAAACAATATTAAATTAAACAATATTAAAAATAAATTATAAAAAAATAAATATTTCTAATCAAAATGATATCATTTCATATTATATTAAGTTAATCACAATTAATTCTTCTTTTCCACAAATTTGAAAATTTTATTTATTTGTTTTTTTTTTTACATATATTATCATTTTGTCTTTGAAAAACGCGTTAAACAAAAGAATTAATTGCGATTAATATTCTTCTATATTATTAATGGATATTCCATACAGGATGTTATATTTATACGTGAATGAGAATATCTTATAAGGTATTGAATTTATTAAAATAATTTCTTATAAAAATTATTTTGTATAAAAGGATACATTATGTGATATAAATAGTTTTTGTTTGAATGAAGTAGTGAAAAAGATTTAAAAATCAAAACAATGTTTTTAAATAATATACTATAGTTTTTTACTTATTTGAAGAATAAAGTTAAAAAATAAATTAATTTTGAACATTGAGTAAATATTGAGATGAATTCAACGATCAATTATATCATATTATATCATATTATTTCATGTAGCAAAATTAATGAAATCGAAATTGTCAATATGTATAATTATTTAATATAGTTAGCTGAATATTTGTCGTTTCAAATTATGTATTTTTTTGTATCAGACCGATTCAAATTTTATCCAAACTTACTTATTATGAAAAGATATCTGTTATAATAAACATAAAAAAGAAAAAATTATTTCAGATAATATTAATAATGAATTTTAATAATATTTTTGACAATAAATAAAATATAGTATTAGTTGCAAAAATTTTTTTTTATGGAATTATTTAAAAAATACAATTTTTCAAATATAAAATTAAATGAATTACATTTAAAAATTATAATTGTATTCAAAAAAATATCAGAAAGAATATTGAAAAATGTGAAAAAATAATTTTTAGAAAGACTATATTTTTAATAATAGTAGATAGTTAAAGAAAAATAAATAAAAAAATAATTATTAAATTTTAATTATTACGATCAATAATGGAAAGTGAAAATTAAAATTTATTATATATATTATAATATATTATAATATCATCTGAAACGATTTCTATTCTTTTTTTCTTTTTTTTGCTAAAAAAATCATAATTAATCTTTCAATAATAAATAATTATATAACGATATATAGTAAATAATATAATAAATATATAATAAATTTATAAAATTTAAGTCAGTTTAGCACAAGAAAATAATAGAGTCACAATTTGAAGCAAAGAAAACAATAATTTACATTAATTTTTATTATATGACATAATATAACATAAATAGTTTTTGTTTGAATGAAGTAGGAAAAGATTTAAAAATCAAATTTTTTTTAAATAATACACTATAATTTTCTATTTATTTGAAGAAGTTTGATTTGTCAATAACACTCGTTATAAATATATAATAAATATGAATAAATATAAAATATCAGTTAAAAAAATTCTGATTTTTAAATTTCTTTCACGATTCATTTATATAAAAATAATTTATTTTATATTAATATATCTTTTTATATCAAATAACTTTTGTAGAACACATTTTTTTAGGTTTCAATTTTTTGAGATTTTATATTCAATCATTTATGTTTGAATATAATTTAATACTTTATATATATTTGTATAGAAAATTTAAATATGAATTAATTCTGCAAAAACATTAACAGTCATATATCATTTTAATCGATACATATTTTTTTTTAACTAAATATAAATATTGATATACTTAAATATTTAATGTTTGTATATAAATAATATAAATAGTAAATATTTAGAATGAATGTACAAATATAACATATTAAAATATTAATATTTAATTAATTGATTATTAATTGATTATAATTTAATATTCATTTATTCAAATTTATAAATTAAATTTATAAATTCGAAATGAAAAAAAAATAATGTATAAAAATTCCTCAAAAAAAGCGAATATTGTAATAATT